TGACTCGAACCCATACTGCCAGGAGCAACGCAACTGGTATGTACCGGGACGCCTTAATCCGCTTGACCATCACGACCGGACAAAAGGAAGTGATAGCCGAAGCTATTTGAACCACTTCCCTGCCGGCACTCGGATGGTAATCTTGGGCATAGCATTTTATCAAATCACCTCATTCTTTGGGGCACACGTGAGGAACACAAATGCAAACAAGCCTGAATGGTCCCCAGGACTATATACAACTGAAAACTCACACCCCAGAAGTCACTCGAACCCATACAGCCAGGAGCAACGCAACTGGTATGTACAGGGACGCCTTAATCCGCTTGACCATCACGACCGGACAAAAGGAAGTGATAGCCGAAGCTATTTGAACCACTTCCTCGCCGGCACTCGGATGGTAATCTTGGGCATAGCATTTTATCAATTCACCTCATTCTTTGGGGCACACGTGAGGAACACAAATGTAAACAAGCCTGAATGGTCCCCAGGACTATATACAACTGAAAACTCACACCCCAGAAGTGACTCGAACCCATACTGCCAGGAGCAACGCAACTGGTATGTACAGGGACGCCTTAATCCGCTTGACCATCACGACCGGACAAAAGGAAGTGATAGCCGAAGCTATTTGAACCACTTCCCCGCCGGCACTCGGATGGTAATCTTGGGCATAGCATTTTATCAAATCACCTCATTCTTTGGGGCACACGTGAGGAACACAAATGCAAACAGGCCTGAATGGTCCCCAGGACTAAATACATCTGAAAACTCACACCCCAGAAGTGACTCGAACCCATACTGCCAGGAGCAACGCAACTGGTATGTACAGGGACGCCTTAATCCGCTTGACCATCACGACCGGACAAAAGGAAGTGATAGCCGAAGCTATTTGAACCACTTCCCCGCCGGCACTCGGATGGTAATATTGGGCATAGCATTTTATCAAATCACCTCATTCTTTGGGGCACACGTGAGGAACACAAATGCAAACAAGCCTGAATGGTCCCCAGGACTATATACAACTGAAAACTCACACCCCAGAAGTGACTCGAACCCATACTGCCAGGAGCAACGCAACTGGTATGTACCGGGACTCCTTAATCCGCTTGACCATCACAACCGGACAAAAGGAAGTGATAGCCGAATCTATTTGAACCACTTCCCTGCCGGCACTCGGATGGTAATCTTGGGCATAGCATTTTATCAAATCACCTCATTCTTTGGGGCACACGTGAGGAACACAAATGCAAACAAGCCTGAATGGTCCCCAGGACTATATACAACTGAAAACTCACACCCCAGAAGTGACTCGAACCCATACTGCCAGGAGCAACGCAACTGGTATGTACAGGGACGCCTTAATCCGCTTGACCATCACGACCGGACAAAAGGAAGTGATAGCCGAAGCTATTTGAACCACTTCCCCGCCGGCACTCGGATGGTAATCTTGGGCATAGCATTTTATCAAATCACCTCATTCTTTGGGGCACATGTGAGGAACACAAATGCAAAGAAGCCTGAATGGTCCCCAGGACTATATACAACTGAAAACTCACACCCCAGAAGTGACTCGAACCCATACTGCCAGGAGCAACGCAACTGGTATGTACAGGGACGCCACCACCACCTCCCAAGAGCACTAAAAATGACCCCTCACTTGCTCTAGTGCTCTTGGGAGGTTGTGGTCTTTGGAGTGTATAAATACTCCGAAATTACCATCTCTTTTAAGGGTCTGAGCGGGTGGTGGAGTGGGTTAAGGCGTACCTGTTATGCCAGTTGCTGGAAGGCTTCTGTGCTGGCTAGGGTTCGAGTCTCCTGGTGGGAAAGTGTTCTAAAGTTGTATACTTCACTCTCGTGTTTAGGAGAGTTGTGCCTTAAGCATAGACACAGTGTTCTCCCATATTAACAGGGACTTGATGAAAAAACGTAAAAATGACCCCTCACTTGCTCTAGTGCTCTTGGGAGGTGGTGGTCTGTGGAATGTGTAAATACTCCGAAATTACCATCTCTTTTAAGGGTCTGAGCGGGTGGTGGAGTGGGTTAAGGCGTACCTGTTATGCCAGTTGCTGGAAGGCTTCTGTGCTGGCTAGGGTTCGAGTCTCCTGGTGGGAAAGTGTTCTAAAGTTGTATACTTCACTCTCGTGTTTAGGAGAGTTGTGCCTTAAGCATAGACACAGTGTTCTCCCATATTAACAGGGACTTGATGAAAAAACGTAAAAATGACCCCTCACTTGCTCTAGTGCTCTTGGGAGGTGGTGGTCTTTGGAGTGTATAAATACTCCGAAATTACCATCTCTTTTAAGGGTCTGAGCGGGTGGTGGAGTGGGTTAAGGCATACCTGTTATGCCATTTGCTGGAAGGCTTCTGTGCTGACTAGGGTTCGAGTCTCCTGGTGGGAAAGTGTTCTAAAGTTGTATATATATTTATATATATATATATATATATATATATATATATATATATATATATATATATTTATATATATGTATGTATATATATATATATATATATATATATATATATATTATATATATATATATATATATATATATATATATATATATATATATATATATATATATATATATATGTGTGTGTGTGTGTGTGTGAGAAAGCTGCATGAACGCGCAAGCATATATCACTATGACCATATAGCATATATCACTAAGCATATGTCACTAAGGAAGACCAACAGGCAGAAAGACCAACAGGGAGGGAGACCAACAGGCAGGGAGACCAACATGCAGGGAAACCAACAGGCAGGGAGACCAACAGGCAGGGAGACCAACAGGGAGGGAGACCAACAGGCAGGGAGACCAACATGCAGGGTAACCAACAGGCAGGGAGACCAAAAGGCAGGAAAACCAACAGGGAGGGAGACCAACAGGCAGGGAGACCAACAGGCAGGGAGACCAACAGGGAGGGAGACCAGCAGGCAGGAAAATCAACAGGGAGGGAGACCAGCAGGCAGGAAAATCAACAGGGAGGGAGACCAACAGGCAGGACGATTAACAGGCAGGGAGACCAACAGGCACGGAGACCAACAGGGAGGGAGACCAACAGGCATGTAGACCAAGAGGCCGGAAGACAAACAGGGAGGGAGACCAACAGGCATGGAGACAACAGGCAGGGAGATAAACATTCAGGTAGACCAACAGGCAGGAAGACCAACAGGGAGGGAGACCAACAGGGAGGGAGACCAACAGGCATGGAGACAACAGGCAGGAAGACCAACAGAGAGGGTGACCAACAGTCAGGAAGACCAACAGGGAGGGAGACCAACAGGCAGGAAGACCAACAGGAAGGGAGACCAACACGCAGGTAGACCAACAGGGAGGGAGACCAACAGGGAAAGAGACCAACAGGCAGGAAGAACATGAAGGGAGACCAACAGGGAGTGAGACCAACAGGGAGGGAGACCAACAGGGAGTGAGACCAACAGGGAGTGAGACCAACAGGGAGTGAGACCAACAGGGTGGGAGACCAACAGGGAGTGAGACCAACAGGGAGTGAGACCAACAGGGAGTGAGACCAACAGGCAGGGAGACCAACAGGCAGGAAGACCAACAAGCAGGGAGACCAACAGGCAGGGAGACCAACAGGCAGGAAGACCAACCTGGAGGGAGTCCAACACGCAGAAAGACCAACAGGCAGGGACACCAAAAGGGAAGTAGACCAACAGGTAAGAGACCAACAGGAAGATCAACAGGCAGGGAGACTAACAGGCAGGAAGACAAACAGGGAGCGAGACCAACAGGCAGGGAGACCAACAGGCAGGGAGACCAACAGGCAGGGAGACTAAGAGGCAGGGAGACCAACAGTCCTGAAGACCAACAGGGAGGGGAGACCAACAGGGAGTGAGACCAACAGACAGGAAGACCAACAGGCAGGGACACCAACAGGCAGGAAGACCAACAGGCAAGGAGACCAACAGGGAGGGAGACCAACAGGCAGAGACCAACAGGCAGGGAGACCAACAGGCAGGGAGACCAACAGGCCGGGAGACCGACAGGCCGACAGACCAACAGGCAGGGAGACCAACAGGGAGGGAGACAAACATGAAGGGAGACCAAGAGAGAGGGAGACCAACAGGCAAGGAGACGAACAGGCAAGGAGACCAACAGACAGGGAGACCAACAGGGAAGTAGACCAACAGTTAAGGAGACGAGACCAACAGGCATTGAGACCAACAGGCAGGAGACCAACAGGCAGGATGAACAACAGGCAGGAGACCTACAGGCCTGATGACCAACAGGCAGGAGACCAACAGGCTGGAAGACCAACAGGCACGGAGACCAACAGTCAGTGAGAGCAACAGCTAGCGAGACCAACAGGTAGGGAGGCCAAACGGCAGGGAGACCAACAGGCAGGGAGACCAAAAGGCAGGGAGATCAACAGGCAGGGAGATCAACAGGCAGGAGACCAACAGGGAGGAAGACCAACAGGGAGGGAGACCATCAGGCAGGGAGACCAACAGGCAGGGAGGCCAACAGGGAGGGAGACAAACAGGGAGAAAGACAAACAGTGAGGGAGGGAGACCAACGGGTAGGGAGACCAAAAAGCAGGGAGACCAACAGGATAAAGGTCCAACAGAGACCAACAGGAGGAAGATGAAGGTCTAACTGAGAGCAACAGGAGTAAGATGAATGTCCAACAGAGACCAACAGGAGAAAGAGGAAGGTCAAACAGAGAGGAAACAGGAGGGAAGGAAAGGGAAGGGAAGGGTCCAACAGAGAGCAACAGGAGGGAAGGGAATTTCCAATTGAGATCAACAGGAGGGAAGAGAAGGTCCAACAGAGAACAACAGGATGGAAGGGAAGGTCCAACAGAGAACAATAGGAGGGAAGGGAAGGTCTAACAGAGAGCAACAGGAGGAGGGTCCAACAGAGGGAGGGTTGAGAGCAGGAGTGAGATGAGACAGGGAGCCCGTTAATACCTGGCGCCGGCTCCCACAGCTCGCTGGATCACCCTATAACCGTTAATCTTCATGTACACCAAAATTAAACTCGTAAAGCGCAGTGTGGCTCAGCTTCTGATCCTCTTATAGGCGGGAGGCTTGGGGGGGTGGGGGTGCGAGGGACGTTCCAGGGAGTGGCGAGGGGGACTCTCCAGGGAGTGGCGTGGGGGACGCTCCAGGGAGTGGCGTGGGGGACGCTCCAGGGAGTGGCGCGGGGGACGCTCCAGTGAGTGGCGTGGGGGACGCTCCAGGGAGTGGCACGGGGGACGCTCCAGGGAGTGGCGCGGGGGACGGTCCAGGGAGTGGCATGGGGGGACGCTCCAGGGAGTGGCGTGGGGGATGCTCCAGGGAGTGGCGTGGGGGACTCTCCAGGGAGTGGCACGGGGGACGCTCCAGGGAGTGGCGCGGGGGACGGTCCAGGGAGTGGCATGGGGGGACGCTCCAGGGAGTGGCGTGGGGGACTCTGCAGGGAGTGGCGTGGGGGACGTTCCAGGGAGTGGCGCGGGGGACTCTCCAGGGAGTGGCGAGGGGGACTCTCCAGGGAGTGGCGAGGGGGACTCTCCAGGGAGTGGCGAGGGGGACTCTCCAGGGAGTGGCGAGGGGGACTCTCCAGGGAGTGGCGCGAGGGACGTTCCAGGGAGTGGCGCGGGGGACGCTCCAGGGAGTGGCGAGGGGGACTCTCCAGGGAGTGGCGAGGGGGACTCTCCAGGGAGTGGCGAGGGGGACTCTCCAGGGAGTGGCGAGGGGGACTCTCCAGGGAGTGGCGAGGGGGACTCTCCAGGGAGAGGCGAGGGGGACTCTCCAGGGAGTGGCGAGGGGGACTCTCCAGGGAGTGGCGAGGGGGACTCTCCAGGGAGTGGCGAGGGGGACTCTCCAGGGAGTGGCGCGAGGGACGTTCCGGGGAGTGGCGCGGGGGACGCTCCAGGGAGTGGCGAGGGGGACTCTCCAGGGAGTGGCGAGGGGGACTCTCCAGGGAGTGGCGAGAGGGACTCTCCAGGGAGTGGCGAGGGGGACTCTCCAGGGAGTGGCGAGGGGGACTCTCCAGGGAGTGGCGAGGGGGACTCTCCAGGGAGTGGCGAGGGCGACTCTCCAGGGAGTGGCGCGAGGGACGTTCCAGGGAGTGGCGCGGGGGACGCTCCAGGGAGTGGCGCGGGGGACGCTCCAGGGAGTGGCGCAGGGGACGCTCCAGGGAGTGGCACGGGGGATGCTCCAGGGAGTGGCACGGGGGACGGTCCAGGGAGTGGCGCGGGGGACGCTCCAGGGAGTGGCGAGGGGGACTCTCCAGGGAGTGGCGAGGGGGACTCTCCAGGGAGTGGCGAGGGGGACTCTCCAGGGAGTGGCGAGGGGGACTCTCCAGGGAGTGGCGAGGGGGACTCTCCAGGGAGTGGCGAGGGGGATTCTCCAGGGAGTGGCGCGAGGGACGTTCCAGGGAGTGGCGCGAGGGACGTTCCAGGGAGTGGCGCGGGGGACGCTCCAGGGAGTGGCGCGGGGGACGCTCCAGGGAGTGGCCGGGGGGGACGCTCCAGGGAGTGGCACGGGGGATGCTCCAGGGAGTGGCACGGTGGACGCTCCAGGGAGTGGCGCGGGGGACGCTCCAGGGAGTGGCGCGGGGGACGCTCCAGGGAGTGGCGCGGGGGACGCTCCAGGGAGTGGCACGGGGGATGCTCCAGGGAGTGGCGCGGGGGACGCTCCAGGGAGTGGCGCGGGGGACGCTCCAGGGAGTGGCGCGGGGGACGCTCCAGGGAGTGGCGCGGGGGACGCTCCAGGGAGTGGCGCGGGGGACGCTCCAGGGAGTGGCGCGGGGGACGCTCCAGGGAGTGGCGCGGGGGACGCTCCAGGGAGTGGCGCGGGGGACGCTCCAGGGAGTGGCGCGGGGGACGCTCCAGGGAGTAGCACGGGGGAGGCTCCAGGGAGTGGCACGGGGGACGCTCCAGGGAGTGGCGCGGGGGACGTTCCAGGGAGTGGCGCGGGGGACGCTCCAGGGAGTGGCGCGGGGGGAAGCTCCAGGGAGTGGCACGGGGGACGCTCCAGGGAGTGGCACGGGGGACGCTCCAGGGAGTGGCACGGGGGACGCTCCAGGGAGTGGCGCGGGGGACGCTCCAGGGAGTGGCACGGGGGACGCTCCAGGGAGTGGCGCGGGGGACGCTCCAGGGAGTGGCGCGGGGGACGCTCCAGGGAGTGGCGCGGGGGACGCTCCAGGGAGTGGCGCGGGGGACGCTCCAGGGAGTGGCGCGGGGGACGCTCCAGGGAGTAGCACGGGGGATGCTCCAGGGAGTGGCACGGGGGACGCTCCAGGGAGTGGCGCGGGGGACGCTCCAGGGAGTGGCGCGGGGGACGTTCCAGGGAGTGGCGCGGGGGACGCTCCAGGGAGTGGCGCGGGGGACGCTCCAGGGAGTGGCACGGGGGACGCTCCAGGGAGTGGCACGGGGGACGCTCCAGGGAGTGGCGCGGGGGACGCTCCAGGGAGTGGCACGGGGGACGCTTCAGGGAGTGGCACGGGGGACGCTCCAGGGAGTGGCACGGGGGACGCTCCAGGGAGTGGCACGGGGGATGCTCCAGGGAGTGGCGTGGGGGACGCTCCAGGGAGTGGCGCGGGGGACGCTCCAGGGAGTGGCGTGGGGGATGCTCCAGGGAGTGGCGTGGGGGACGCTCCAGGGAGTGGCGCAGGGGACGCTCCAGGGAGTGGCGCGGGGGACGCTCCAGGGAGTGGCACGGGGGACGCTCCAGGGAGTGGCGTGGGGGATGCTCCAGGGAGTGGCGTGGGGGACGCTCCAGGGAGTGGCACGGGGGACGCTCCAGGGAGTGGCACGGGGGATGCTCCAGGGAGTAGCGTGGGGGATGCTCCAGGGAGTAGCGTGGGGGACTCTCCAGAGAGTGGCGTGGGGGATGCTCCAGGGAGTGGCGTGGGGGATGCTCAAGGGAGTAGCGTGGGGGACTCTCCAGAGAGTGGTGCGGGGAAAGCTCCAGGTAGTGGTGTGGGGGACGCTCCAGGGAGTGGCGTGGGGGATGCTCCAGGGAGTGGCATGGGGGACGCTCCAGGGAGTGGCGTGGGGGACGCTCCAGCGAGTGGCGTGGGGGATGCTCCAGGGAGTGGCGTGGGGGATGCTCCAGGGAGTGGCGTGGGGGACGCTCCAGGGAGTGGCGTGGGGGACGCTCCAGGGAGGGGCATGGGGGATGCTCCAGGGAGTAGCGTGGGGGACTCTCCAGAGAGTGGTGCGGGGAAAGCTCCAGGTAGTGGTGTGGGGGACGCTCCAGGGAGTAGCTGTTATAACCCTTCAAGTCTAGGTATGGTTTTTTTGCTTGCAGTCATCAAAAAATAATAATTTCGGCCTTGCCTCAAAGTTTGTCTAGGGGTATGATTGAAAGTCACTGCTTAACATGCATAACAATATACTGTACTTAAGGGTAACAAGACATATCAAACAGATAAATGTTAAAAATTATAAGAAGCCAGAATTATCTTTCAGCATGCAATAATATCATAAAGTCACTTAATGAGCACAGACTCTTAAACACATGAATGAATCAATAGAGTAGCACAAAATAGTCTTACCAAGAGAATTAACTAAGTATTAAGTAAAATAAACAAAATTCACTGACTTATCTCCAGTACATGTCTCCTCCCAGCGAGCTAACCCACGCGACTGGCTAGCCTCCCGTCAGCAAGGCAGGCGTCCTACCAAAAGATCAACTTAGCACCCACATGAACTCTAATGAAAACTCTACTAACAGAGTGTAGTACAAAAGAACAATACAATCAGTAATATTAATTGTATATAATACTGTTACAGTAATCACAGGAATTAATTAAAATCAATAACAGGAAATATTCAAGGGGTGAAATATTGACGCTAGCTTGACAACAGGCCGCACACTGGAAACATCCAAATATGGTCATCCCTCCATGGAGAAGCCACCAACTCCTTCCAACAAAAATAACTTGCACAAGCCTATCAAAAATAATGCAACTCAGGCACACTACATCATGCTACAATATAAATCATACAATATGAACTGGAACACAACTGGATACCATACTAATAATAGTACTGAACACGGAAAGGATTAAATGCTATACATAGTTATCATGAATAATGGTAGAATCAATCATAGATTCGTAACATCCCTCCTGGTCCTTAAGAAAAAATGAAATTAACTGAAAGTTGATTTCATTTTTTGACTGCATGAAATATAACATGAAAATATAACATGAAGGTACTTCAACAAAAGATCAAAGTACAAAACAATAAAATTTCTCGCAGTAAAAAAACAAAACAAAATAAATGCATCTTATGAGTATAGAACAATTCATATTGTGGCACTGCAACAGGAAATCCTCTGGATAAGGCATCAGCAATAACATTTTGCCTCCCAGGAATAAGACGAATTACAATATTGAATTCTTGCAGAATCAATGACCATCTAAGTATTCTCTGGTTCTTACATTTCATGGAGTTAATGAATGTGAGGGGATTATGATTTGTATATACTACAACTTGATTGCCTGACAAGTATGTCTCAAACTTCTTAACTGCCAAGATCAAACAAAGTTCTTCCTTCTCAACCACAAAATAATTAGTTTGTGCCCTGTCAAATTTACGAGAGAAATAATATACAGGGTGTTCTAAATCATCTGGTCCTACCTGGAAAAAACAGCACCTGCTCCTAGATTCGAAGCGTCTATGTGCATAATAAATGGTTTATCAGCATGTGGACTGGCTAACACAGGTGACGTTGAGAGAATTCCTTTCAACTTCTAAAAGGAGTTCTGACACTCCTGCGTCCACTTGAATTTTACCTGCTTCCTAAGAAGATTGGTTATAGGTGCAGCAACAATGGAAAAGTTTTTACAATATCTCCTATAATACGCACACATCCCAATATATCTCTGCACAGACTTCTTACTTGTTAGTATTGGGTAATCGACGATTGCCTGGATCTTGTCTTGCAACGGGACTATCCTACCTTGTCCGACCTCATGTCCTAAGTACACTATTGTTCCTTTAGCCCAACTACAGTTCTTCACATTAACAGTCAATTTAGCATGTTGTAGCACGGCAAACAATTGCTTTAAACTGGACATATGGTCTTCCCAACTCTTACTGAAAATCACAATGTCATCTAAATATGCCCTACAACCTGGCACATCCTTCAACAAAGAATTAATCAACTTTTGAAAAGTTGCTGGGGCATTCCTTAGTCCAAACGGCATCACATTAAACTCGAATGCTCCATCAAGGGGTGATAAAAGCTGTCACTTCCCTTGCAAAATCTATAAGTGTTATCTGGTGATACCCCTTAGATAAGTCCAATTTAGATACAAAGTTAGCATGACCAATTTGGTCGATGCAGTCCTCTAGTAAGGGTAATAGATATACATCAACAACAGTTACCTGGTTTAACGTTCTATAATCCACTACTAAACGATATTTACCCTCTGGTTTTGGTACCACTATACACGGTGAACTCCAGGAGCTCTGACTGGGTCTAATGAACCCATGTCGAAGTAGATAATCAACCTCCTCCTGGATGATACGACGTTTCTTGGGGGTCACTCGATAAGGGTGTAGCCGAATTGGAGTTACATCTGTCAGGTTAATGTCATGAGTAATGAGAGATGTCTGAGTGGGGACCTCCCCCAAACAAGTTGGAGGACATCTTCAAAAGTCCAGGAACTCTGCTCTCTCCTCATCCTGCAAATGACACAACAATTCTTCCCCAGAACTGGAATTAGATAAAAGAGGATTACCATCTTCCCCTACAACAATTGACTCCTCAGGGTTTACCTCCTCAGTAACACAACAAGCCACAATACTGGGCCCTCAAGAAGCCTTCAACTGGTTCACATGTACACTCATGATTTGATGTTTCTGTTTGGGATTGCAAACTTTGTAGGTGACTTCACCAAGACGTTTTACCACTTGATAAGGTCCTGCAAATTTATGTGACATAGAAGTACTCATGCGAGGCTTCAAGACCATTACCAAATCTCCTGGTTCAAAAGCTCTGAGATTGGCCTTGAACCTTTTGTCATGCTTCTCCTTCATTACCTGTTGTTGCTCGCACAGATGTCATAAGGCCAACTCCTTCGTTCTAGACAGCTTGCTCTTTACATCCTTCAGGTAACGCTCACTCTGCCTAGCATTTACATCTCAAACATTTTCTCTTGCAACATTTTTAAAGGTCCTTTCACCTGATGTCCAAATACAAGATCAAATGGAGAGCAGCCGAGGGCAGTGTGTAATCTGTCCCTAGCAGCAAATAGTACAAATGGTAAATTGTCATCCCAATGTCTGGGTGAATCTTCCCCAGTTGCTTTTAACATCTTTTTGAGGGTTTGGTGGAACCGCTCGATTTCCCCTTGACTCTGAGGATGGTAAGGACTGGAAAAGTTATGTTGTATACCAAATGAATTACAAAAGGTTTTAAATGTTGTGGAACTGCTTTATAAGTGTAGAAGCCCTAATGCTACATAAAGCATATGCTTCAGGGAACCTGGTGGTCATACATAGAATAGTAAACATATACATATTTCCGGATTTGGTACGGGGTAAAGGTCCGACACAATCCAGCACCAAATGTGTAAAAGGCTCCTCTGGCACTACAATAGGGTATAATGGTGCTCGTGGCACAGTCTGGTTAGGTTTACTAACAGTTTGACACACAACACAATTGTGACAATATCTGACCACATCCTTTTTGAGTTTTGGCCAATAGAAAAATTTACATATCTTATCATACATACTGGAAATCCCTTGGTGACCTCCCATCAGGTTATCATGGGCAGCTTGCAATACCTGCTCCCTATACTCCTTGGGTACAACGAGCTGGATCCTAGATCTGTGAGATTTTTTCTTTGACAGGTTATCAAAAGAATTGAGTCCTATTGATGTTACGTTAATCACAACTACCTCGCAAGAGAGGCAGACCTTAAACAGCAAGAGCTGCCAGTGGCAGATATTTAATCTTAAAGCCTAAGATCATAGGACCGCGGGAGCAAACCGCCAGGCGAAACCACTCGGGTAACACCTGTCACTTAGGTCGCTGGCTCCTCCTAGTTAACAAACTAATAAAGGGTAGCCGACGGGTTCTCACTTCTTATTTATAGAAGTGTGGTGCTGTGCAATGGACTCGAGCTTTAGATACAGACTTAATATGAACATAAGCAGGCAAAGCGTTGCAGAACATGAAATGTGGGGCAGTAATATTGGAAGGTTTGACGTAAACGACCGTTTCTATAACAAAACAATTTATTCACAAAACAAGAACTAAAACTACTACACAGTGAATTTACGTTACTTTACTGTCACTCCAGTGGCACATTCAAGAATAGCTAATCAACAGCCTGATGGACCCACGGTCTCCTTATCCCGTCGTCGCTGACTGAACAATGACACTAACTGAACAAAGTGGTGCCCACTGGTGACGCAAGCTTGCAATCAGTATTGTCACGGCTTCACGGTGACCAATACTATAATCACAAAAACTTGACTGGCGCTCACTGCCCTCAACGAGGTACCAAGTAACAAGGCGGTTAATCCAAGAATGATAACCCCTTATAAAAATCTTACGTTAACACTTGTCTCTCAGGACAATCAAAACAAAAGTTACTCTAATTGAATTTAAACAATTACGTTAACACCCACGTGTCTCAATGGCACTTAAATGGCAGCAATAACTCGTAAATCAATTAATTACATCAACTTGAAAGTCAAGCATTCGGTGAGTAATTCCCAATTAATTACTGAATACAACAGCCTATTAATTCAGACGAGTATTGATAAAGCCTACTGTCTCTCAACTGACAGTTCACTTCCAGTCTTACGACAAGATTACCTTAACGAGGGTAGACTACTGTACCACACACAATGTTCCAATACTCCGTGTAAACAACAACATCAACACCTGGTGAATTCACTAAGTGGCGATTACTAATTCTCCTTAATTAGCTACGAGTGCTTAATCACTCTGTCCGCAGACAGATTTGATCAGTCCAACGAATTACAACAGCTTAATTACAGCGCAATTGACTCCAATCATAACAGACCGTCAACCCCTTACGTTAATCACTCAATTAACGACAGCTCGTTAACTCGTTAACACTACGTTAGTCTTCACTTGACAATTCCTCCACTGTGTGAACTTCACTGTGACTGTTGCCTTTACACGTCCCTACGTTAATCACAACAATGTTCAACGAACAAGTGACCTCGTTAATTAAATCGTGACCCCCGGTGACGTTAACTGACTTTAATTCTCACGGAATCCTTCACAGTACACA